ATCTGCTGTTTATATAACTTCATCATTTCAAGAGTTACATAGACAGAATCATATGGTATGGTAGGTAACCTTTTGGGATTGGCTTTTTTTTTCCCTTTTTTTTTTTTTAAGATTTTATTTATCTGACAGAGATCACAAGTAGGCAGAGAGGCAGGCAGAGAGAGAGGGGGAAGCAGGCTCCTTGCTGAGCAGAGAGCTCGATGCAGGGTTCGATCCCAGGACCCCAAGACCATGACCTGAGCTGAAGGAAGAGGCCCAACCCACTGAGCCCCCCAGGTGCCCCAGGATTGCCTTTTTTCATTCAGCGTACTTCCTTGGAGATTCACCTAGGTTGGCCCATGTATCAATAGTTTGTTCCTTTTTATTGCTGAGTGGAGTTTCATACTACGGTTTCACTATCATTTGTTCAATTATTCACACTGGAAGACATCTGAATTGTTTCAGTCTGGGGCTGTTATGAATAAAGCTGTTATAAATAAATATTCATGTACAGATTTTTGCATGAATATAAGTTTTCATTTTCCTGGATAAAGGCCTAGGAGTGCAATGGCTGGGTCATATAAAGGTTGCATATTTAGCTTTTATAAAAATACTGCCGACCTGTTTTCCAGAGTGGCTATATCATTTTACATTCCGATCAGCAATGTATGCATGATCTAATTTCTCTACAACCTCACCAACATCTGTTGTTACTATTTTTAAAATTTAAGCTATTATGATAGATTATAGTGATAACACATTGTGGTTTCAACTTGCGTTCACTTAATAGCTAATAATTTTGAAAACCATTTCATGTGCTTATTTACCATTTGTATGTTGTCTGTGAAATGTCTCTTCATGTCTTTTACTTATGTCTAACTAGATTTTTTGTTTGTTTACTGTTGAGTTTTGAATGTTTTTATAAATTCTAGATACCTGTCCTTTCTTGAATATGTGTCTGCAAATATTTTCTCCCAGTCTGTAACTCGTCCTTTCATCCTCTTAATATGGTATTTCATGAAACAGAAGTGTTTTTAATTTTTAATGAAGTCCAATTTATCCATTTTTCCTTTTATGGGATTGTGCTTCTGTTGTCCTGGATAACCCTGAAAGTCTGTTTATTTTCTTTCTTTCTGGATTATTCAATTTTTTTTTATTTTACTTTTTACCGAAGCTCCAACATGGGGCTTGAACTCACAACCGTAAGATCAAAAGTCATATGCTCTGCCGACTAAGCCAGCCAGGTGCCTTGAAGTTTGTTCATTTTTATTTTTGGCTTATTTTCCGTGTTGTTCAGATTGAGAGATTTGTACTGCCCTGTCTTCTACCTCAGTGACTCTTTCCTCTGTATGTCCCCCCCCATGCCACCACCATTCTGCTGAGCCCTTCTACTGAGCTTTTTACCTCAGTTATTGTCTTTTTCAGTTGTAATATTTACATTTGATTTTTTGATATCTTCTACTTCTTTGCTGAGACTTTCTCTTTTGGCTGAGGTTTATATCTCTACATTTGTTTCAAGTATACTTCTAATGGCTCACTGAAGCATTTTTATGTTGGCTGCTTTACAGTCTTTTTCACATTGTTTCAGATCCCTGTCTTTTCAGTGTTGGCATCAGTGGATCACCTCTTTTCATTCAGTTTGACATTTTCCTGGTTCTTAATATGATGAGTGATCTTTGACTGAAAGCAGGACATTTTGTATTGCTGTTAGATTGCATCTTATTTAAACCTGTCTTAGTTGGCTTTTCCCGATGGGGGAAGGGGGTGGGTGCTGCCCCATTTCTGACAGGTGTAAGTAGACTTCCAGCTTCCCCATTCTGCCTTACTGGACACTGGCAAGGAAGAGAGGATCTTCCCTTACTGCTGAGTGAGGGGTGGGAGTATCAGCTTCCCACATGATCTTATAACACAGCAGTGGATGGGGTCTCACCACCACTGCTGGTGGTGAAAATTGTGAGTGCCCACTAGGCCCCCCTCTGTGTTTAGAGAAACTTCTTTTAGCCGTTCTTTGAGGGTAGGGTGCTGCAATGAATTATTTTAGTTTTTCTTATCCTTTAAGAATGTCTTGATTTGGGACCCTGGGAGGCTCAGTCCTTATGCAGCTGCCTTCTGCTCAGGTCATGATCTCGGAGTCCTGGGATCGAGCCCTGCATTGGGCTCCCTGCTCAGTGGGAAGCCTGCTTCTCCCTCTCCCACTCCTCCTGCTTTTGTTCCCTCTCTTGCTATGTTTATCTCTGTCCAACAAATAAAATCTTTTAAATAAAAAAAAAAAAAGAATGTCTCGATTTCCCTTTCATTTCTGAAGATATCTTTTACTGAGTATAGGATTCTGGGTTAACCATTCTTTTCATTCAGCACCTGAGACAGCACCCCACTGGGGAGATGGAGGAGCACCTCATTACTTCTGGATTAGGGTGGAAGTTCAGTCTCTACTAACATCATGGGCTGGGGGGAACTTTGCTGGCAAACAGCAGGGATGAATTTTCAGCTCCCCACTTGGCCATCTCTGCCACCACCTTGGCAGGGAGGTTGGGGACCGGTTTCACAGCCCAGGGAAGGCAGAAGTCCTGGCTCCCCAGCTGACCACAGTTTTTTCTGTGGTGTTTGACTGTTGTAGGGCAGTTGTTGTCTATATGCTTTCTGTCTTGCTACCTTCCCTCTTTCCTGGTCCTTGGCTTGAGAGAACAGGCTTTTACTGGGGTTTTTTTTGGTCTGCCTCTGGCTGCATTTTCTTATTGCTAACTTATTCAGTTTTAGTAATGGGTTATACAAAGAGAAAAGAAACTTTAGGGAACTTACCACTTCCTTGAGTCAGGAGGTCTTTAGCCACTTTGCCTTCTTTCCACCTTCCAGAATCTTTTTTATGCTTGTTTTGTACATGATGTCCAGGATTTCTTGTTGTACTTAACGGGAGTAATAGGGAAAAGGTACATGTACTACATCTTCCTGAAAGCTGAAGTTTATTTCTTTGTTTCTACTAAATGTAAAGCTGCAATAGAATCTTTCTATATAAAGCTTTTCCCATAAGGGGTGGATTCCTAGAAGTAAAGTCAGTTGGCCAAAGGGTATGAACATTTTTGTGACACTTAATATATGATGACATTTAAAAGATTGTACCTGCTCACACTACCTCCAGCAGTCACTCACATTTTTAAGGGTAATGTTAGTTTCAAAGTGGCACTGAACAGAATGTGTGCCTACTTGAGATCCTTGGTGAACTAAAGGCAGCCTGGAAACCTGTAGGTGGATTTTTCCACTGAAACTCTTCTACTGCCTCTGCTGAAAAGCCAGAGGCTGCTGGTGATGATGAGCTTCAGCAAGGACTGGGCAGAGCCCCACAAGGGGACAAGAGCATGAGTATATGGGGCTGCCTGCTGGTTCTCCTAACAATGACTGTTTTCTTAGGGAAGCCACTTGTTTCAATGTAAGAGTCTAAATATAAGAGTCATCAAAACAATGCTATGAAGTCATTTGTTATGTTGTCAGGTCTGAGATGGAAATGTAGGGGAGATGACTGGGGAAGGAATGAGCAAAGTATGATTTTAATGCTGGGTGGGCACAGGTGTTCCTGTGGTAGCTTTGTTGCAGATGATCACAGGCTCTGGGCCAGGGGATGTGATGTGTGTGTTTCATGGGCATCACAAACCCAGTCACTTGGTATCAGGGAGTAGCTGGAGAAGAGCATTTGCTGACAGCTGATATATATATATATATATATATATATATATATATTTTTTTTTTTTTTTTTTTTTTTTTTTTCCTGAGAGAGAGTGCCAAGAGGGGGTAGGGGGTAGGGCAGAGGGGGTGAGAATCTCATGCAGATTCCAAGCTCAGCATGGATTCTGACACAGGGCTCCATCTCATGACCCTGAGATCATGAACTGAGCCAAAATAAAAAGTTAGATGCTTACCCTACTGAGCCACCCAGGCACCCTGCAGATAGATACTTTCTGACTGCATTAGTGAAGAGTGTGGAAGACCCAAAATAAGAGATAATCAGATAATTTATGTTTGTCTTTGGAATCATTGGAAGATAGTGCTACCTTAGCTGCCCTTCTCTGGCCAGATCTTTTGTTGATTTGCACCATTTTGGAGCATGGCCTTGTCCCCAGGGACTTCTCTCCCTGCTCCATTATGTTGACATTTCCACCTGCAAAGCATTGGTGCAAGGTCGACAGGAGCATATAAAAGCTGGCCTTTGACTTCTTGGAAGGCTGATCTCTGAAATCAGGAATGTTAGGTGTCAGCCTTTGGTCACATGCCCTAACCACAATGGGTTTCAGTTGCCTTTCCTGGGTCTCTTTACAGAGTTATTTTGAGGATTAAATAAGGTAATAATGTGTGTGAAAAGACTCTAATATTAAAATTCCATACTCTGTAGAAAGTAAAGTAGGAGTCTAATTCATTGATCTTTTCAGTTGTTCTTTTGTTCATTCATTCATTTACCCACATATTTATCAAGTGTCAGGCATGAATAAAAGAAGCGAGCCATGTTCTGGAAATCTACTCTAGGAAGAGCTAGGAAGCCAGGACTGTGTGCTAACCCTTCCTGTCCAACTCCTCTGTCCATCGCTGTTTGCCTGGGGTGGCCATAGATGCTCTTCTAGGGAACTGGGAGATAGACAAGCATAGCTTTCAAAGACCTTCAAACCAAAACCAAATTTGCAAAACCTGAGAAATAAACACTGTTGGAACAAATGAAGTCTTACAGACTAATAATGGTAAGGTGCCCAGAAAGCAAGTAACTCACTGGGCTCAGGACTCTTGGGAAACCTAAGAGCAAGATTTTCAGTGGACAAGCTACATTGTGTTCGAGTGTCCTGGCTGTCCCAGCCCTGGTCTGAATTCTCTTCGAGGAGTGGCTGCCTCCACCTCACTGTGAGGAGCTCCTTCCTGGCATGGATTTTGCTTTCCTCATTTTGAATCCCCACTGTTTGGCCCCATTCTCGTGCACAGAAAGTCTTTTTGTGGTACACAGTAGTTAGGAGCCGTGATGAGCAATCTGGGTTTTGGACTTGCAGGTGGGTGCCCTCCCTGGATTGTGTGATGTGATGCGGGTGCTGCAAGAGGAACAGGACCAGTGCCTACAGGAACTCTCTGAAGAGAATCCAGGAGACCTGGGCACAGAGCAGCCAGCCCTAGGTATGTGACCCACATAGTCCATGCTTGGACTAGTCCCACTAATCCCACTAGGGTAAGGGATACTGGGCTGGTTGGGGATGGAGGGAGCTAGACTAGCTGTATTCATTCAGATAATCACCTGATGGGTTGGAGAGGGCCTGGAATGATCCCAATGAGCAGTTGACACATACCCAAAAAGCCAGATCATCACCACTCACTGTTCCTCGGGGCTTGTGGATATAGTCTGTGTTTTTAAGGCAGTATACCTCTTATCCATTCTCTCGCCTCCTCTGCCAGTTTGATGAGTGAGGTAGTCACAGAGTCAGCAAGGGGTCAGAAAAACCTGGGGTCCAATGTTGGCTTCCACTCACTGGCTGTGTGACCACGGACAAGTTATTTAACCTGCTGAGACTCGGGTTCTTGATCTACATAATGGAGGTGATAATATCTACTTTGGGATTATAATGATGAAATGATAAAGTGTGTTAGGTACTGTTTAATTCTTAAATATCATTCATTTAAACATTATTATTAATCATTTAAAAATAACATTAATTTGATATTTAAATGTTAATTTTATTTCTATGCTGCTTTTTAACTTCCCCCCATCTAAGGATAAGGAGGCATGTAACATTAAGAAAAGAATCCATTACAGGTATTCAAACAAAGAGTTGTACACACGTATTCACAGTGCCACTAGTCTCAATAGCCAAGAGGCAGAAACAACCCAAGTGTCTATCAGCTGATGAATGGGTAAGGAAATGTAGTCTATACACACAATGGAACATTATTCAGTCTTAAAAATAAATGAAGTACTGATACATGCTACAACATGTATGAATCTTGAAAACATGTTGAGTGATGAAAGCTAGTTACAAAAGGCCATGAATGGCATGATTCCATTTATATGAGATATCCAGAACAGGCAAATCCATACAGACAGAAATTAGATGGGTAGCCCCCAGGGGGCAAGGGGAGAGGGAATGGGGAGTAATTCTTAGCTGTTCCCTTTTGGTGTGGTGAAAATATCTTAGATTCAGATGGAGGTGATGGTTGCATGATACTCTGTACCAAATTCCACTGAATCGTATGCCTTAGAATGGATAATGGCTAATTGTATGTTATTTGAATTTTTAAATAGACTTTGTTTTTTAGAACAATTTGCTGCAAAATGGAGCAGAAAGTGTAGAGTTCCCATATACTCTCTCCTCCCTACCCAAACACGACTTCCCCCACGAACGTCCTTTAACAGAGTGATACACTAGTTATAATTGATGAACCTACATTGATCAACATTACCACCCAAAGTCATGGTTTACATTAGGATTCGCTCTTGGTGTGCAGTCTGTAGGTTTTGACAAATGTATAATGACGTGTGTCCACCATTATAGTATTGGACAGAGTAGTTTCTGTGCCCTAGAAATCCTCTGTGTGCTACCTATTCATCCCTCTCTCTCCCCAAACCCTGGGCAGTTGCAGGATTATATGGTAATTCTATTCTTAATTTTTTATTTTTTCAGGGTCTGGCATACTGTTTTTTTCCATAGTGATTTTCCTATTTCACATTCTCACCAGCACATGAGTTCAAATTTCTCCACATCTTCACCAACAGTTGCTATTTTGTTGTTTGTTTGTTTGTTTTTTATAGTAGCCATCCAAATGAGTGTTAGGTGATAACTCATTGTGGTTTTGATCACATTTCACTGATAATGAGTGATGTTGAGCATCTTTTCATGTACCTGTCGGTCATTTGTATGTCTTCTTTGGAGAAATGTCTATTGAAGTCTTTTGCCCATTTAAAAATAGGGTTGTTTACGATTTTTGCTGTTGAATTTAGGAGTTCTTTGTATATTCTGGATCTTACCCCCTTTTCACCTCTATCATTTGTAAATAATCTCTCCTCTTATATAGGTTGCCTTTTCATTCTGTTAATTGTTTCCTTTGATGAACAGAAGTTTTTGAGTTTGATAAAGTGCAATTCATCTATTTTTTACTTTTGTTTTCTGTGCTTTTGATGTCTTATCCAATAAATCATTGCTAAATTGAATCTCACAAAGCTCTTCCCATATATTTTATCCTAAGATTTTTATAATTTTAGCTCTTACATTTAGGTCCTTGGTCCATTTTGAGTTCCTTTTTGTTTATGGTGTCCATCTTCATTCTTTCATATGTGGATATCCAGTTTTTTCAATACCACAGGTTGAAAACCTTTTTTCTGTTGAATGATTGTGACACTGTTGTCAAAAATCATTTAACCATATATATGAGGGTTTATTTCTGAGTTCTCTATTCTATTCTTTTGGTCTATATGCCTTTCTGCCAGTGCCACACTGTTTGTTTTGGTTACTGTAGTTTTGTAGTAAGTTTGAAATCAGAAAGCATGAGACTTCCTACTTTGTTCTTTCAAGATTGATGTGGCTATTTCCAGGTTTCTTGAGATTCCATATGAATTTTGGGAAGGATTTTTCCATTTCTGCAAATAATGCTATTGGGATTTTGATAAGGGTTGCATTGACTCTACAGGTTGCTTTGCATAATATCAACATCTTAACAATATTAAGTCGTCTGATCTATGAACACAACACGTCTTTCTTTTTATTTGTGTCTTTAATTTCTTTTAGCAACATTTTTTCATTTTTAGCACTCAAGTCTTTAACTTCATTGATTGGGTCTATTCCTGAGTGTTTTGTTTTCCTATGCTATTATAAATTGATTCATTTCTCTTTTCTTTTTTTAAAATTTAACTTATTTATTGGAGAGCGAGAGGGAGCACACAAGCAGGAGGAGTGGTAGAGGGAGAAGGAGAAGCAGGCTCCCTGTTGAGCAGAGAGCCAGACATGGGGCTTGATACCAGAACCCCAAGATCATGACCCGAGCTGAAGGCAGATGCCCAACCACCAAGCTACCCAGGCACTCCTTGATTCATTTCTTAATTTCCTTTTCAGGTTGTTCCTCATTAGTGTATAGGAATACAACTAATTTTTGTGTGTTGACTTTGTATCTATCCTGCAACTTTGCTGAGACCATTTATTAGCTCAACAGGTTCATTTTTTTTTTTAATATTTAGGATTTTCTACATATAAGAGTATGTTGTCTGTGAACAGAGATCATTTTACGTCTTCCTTTTGGATTTGGATGCCTTTTATTTCCTTTTTTTGTCTAATTGCTATGACTAGGACTTCCAGGACTACTCTGTACACACATGATGATAGCAGCCATCCTTGCCTTGTTCTTCATCTTACATGAAAAGCTTTCTGTCTTTCACCAAAGAGTATAATAGTCACTGTGGGCTTTTCACATATGGCTTTTATTATGTTGAGGTAGTTTCCTTCTATTCCTAGTTTGTTAGGTGTTTTTATCATGAAATGTACTGAACCTTGTCACATGCGTTTTCTACATCAGTTGAAATGATCATATGGTTTTTGTTCTCTGTTCCTGAATGTCGTGTATTACACTGACTGACTTTCATATGTTGAGCCATCCTCGCCTTGCAGGAATAGATTTCATTCAGTCATAGTGTATAGTCCTTTTAATGGATTATGCTGTTCAATTTCAATTTCCTGGTATTTTGTTTAAGATTTTTGCATTATTGTTCATCAGGAATATTGGTCTGTAGTTTTCTTATCGTGTCTTTGTCTGACTTTGGTAACAAGATAATGAGAGCCTCCTAGAATGATTTTGAAGTTGTTCTCTTTTTTCTCCTTTTTGGAAGTGTTTGAGGAGGATTGGTATTCATTCTTCTCTAAATGTTTGGCAGAATTAATCAGAAAAGCCATCTGGACTTTTCTTTGCTGGGAAATGGAAATTTTTTATTACTGACTCAATCTCTTTACTGGCTAGAGGTCTGCTCAGATTTTCTAGCCATTCCTGCTTGTCTCAGTAGGTTGTGTGTTTATAGGAACTTACCAATTTCATCTAGTTTATGCAGTTTACTGGGGTACAGGCCATACATACCTTTTTGCAAAAGTCTTCCTTCCACGTCATGGCCTTTGTTCTTGAAATTCTTGATCTGTTGGTTATCCAGTTTCCTTTTTTTTTTTTTTAATTTTTATTCATTTATTTGGGAGAGGGAACACAAGCAGGGGGAGTGGGAGAGGGAGAAGCAGGCTTCCCGCTGAGCAGGGAACCCACCGTGGGGCTTGATCCCAGGACCCTGGCATCACGACCTGAGCCGAAGGCAGAGGCTCAACAACTGAGCCACCCAGGCGTCCTGGTCATCCAGCTTCTCATGGTGCCTCATGGCCGGGTCGGGGACTCCTTCCCCTGTCCAGCACCAGGTGACACAGACACTCTCTAGAACTAAGCTGTGCCCCAGCAGCTCTGCCTGCTACACAATACTTTTTCCCTCCTCTCACCTCCTCTGCCTCAGCCTCCTTCTCCTCTCTCTGCCTTTCCCACGTCACCTTCACAGGGCACCTGACTACTGGTGGCAATGACTGTGGAATGTGCTGTGAGCTCGAAGGGAAGACAGCCTCCCTCTTTGTTATGCGAATTTTACCTTAGTGTTTAAAAAGAAAGAGGAAGAGGAGGGGAGAGGAGGAGAGGGGCCCAGGCAGACTGGGGGTGCCTGGGTGACTCAATCACTTAAGCATCTGACTTGATTTTGGCTCAGGTCATGATCTCAGGGCTGTGAGATCAAGTCTCTCATTGAGCTATGTAAGGGCTCCATGCTCAGCAGAGGATCTGTTTAACATTCTCTCTTCCTCTTCCTCTGCACCTCCCCTCCTCCACCCTGCTCGCTCTGTCTCAAAATAAAATAAAAATAAGTAAATAAATTAGACAGACTGTGTGACCTTGAACAAGTTACTTAACGTCTCTGGGCCTCCATTTCCAAATGTTTTTTATGAAGTTGATGTGAAATTACAAGCGTTCATTCACTAAATATAGCACTTACTGTTATGAGGTGGGAATGATGAGGACAAAGGATACAATGGTGAGAAAAAAGGACCACAGACTCCTCTTTAATCACAGAGGGATGTATTTTTCCACATGTAGCAGAAGCTTGCTAGGCTAGCTTCATC